ATATGAGTAGAGGGGCTGTGGGTTAATGAAAGGTCACTTTCTTCTCCATAGTATCCCAGGTGATCTCATCTAACATCAGTGTTTTCTGGAAAACTAAACATGGATGCAAGGTAGTGTGTTTGTATGTGTGTATTCATGTACATGTGAGTGTTCAAGAGTGTGTGTGTGTGTGTGTGTGCATGTGTGTGTGTATGTACATGGGTGCAGAAAATCTTCTCCTAAAAACATAATCTTCTACTGAACAGGAACATCAAAGACTTGAGGAAAGTCTTCAATCCCTGATGAAGCAGAAGGAGCTGCTCACCCAGCAAAGGGACTTGGCAGTAAAGCTGCAGCATCACTTCACTGTGTCCCAGACGAGGTAGGAGCCCAGCGTTGCAGAAGCAGGTGGATCCAAGTGGGTCCGCTGTACCTAGATCTCTGTCCTCTTTGAGTTTCTATTCAATTGGAAAAGCTCCCTGCCACAGCCAGGGAAAGAACACCTCAGAGTGTCATTGCTGGCTCAGTCAACAGGAACTTATGTCCAGGAAGCAATATGCTTTCTCCTTAGTCTTATGGGGATTGTGTCCCCTTCTTCCATTCTGAGACCTGTAGTATGCTCTGAGTATCTCATCTCTTAGATTAGATCTCCCCACAAATATTCCCATGGCAGCCAGAAACCTAGAAAGATATCACCAATCGTGAAGGAAAGTGTATCCTCCTGCAAATTTATTTTCCATCAGGAACATCATGTTTAGAGATAAGTGTCCACCCTTTGGCAGATTTATATACAGCACACTACTGCTGATGGCAGGCTCTCTGTAGTGTTTATCAGTTTCTCATGAGAAGATTTACTTTGGTCATAAACAGAGTAGGAGTTGACAAGTTAATCCCATGCAGGGGTCTGAGCTGTAGGAATCATCAGAGCCTTCTCTGCATTGCTGTGTAGGCTCCACTAGAGGGCAGGCATAGAGTTTTCCAGGAGGTTCACATTCACCTGGTATCTATCAAGACCAGGTATATCTTTCCTGACCTATGCCTCAGACCTTGCCATACTGATATTTCTCCAAAATGATGTCTTTGGACTGTTGGAGAAATATGCTGTTTTTTCTAATCCAGCACAGTGTGTGTTTTCCAGTTCAACTTCTAGCAGTTTTTAAAAGTTGAGAAAAAAAATCCAGCCCAGGTGCTCTCTGACCTTTCTCCCTTAGGGAAGCAGGGAATGAACTCGGCTGAAAGGTAATGCTCGATTGTCTAGCTGAGTAGATCTGGTGGGGGCTCAAAAGCTGACATGGCAGGTCCCCACTAGGCTTCTGTTCCCAGCTGCCTTTCTCCCCTAGGTTTGAAAACCTCCAGCAGGAACTAGAGCAGACCACAGCCCAGAATGAGAGCCTCCTGCAGATGGAGCTGCTGAAGCAGAAACACTATGTCCCAGGCAAGTCAGCCACCATTGAGCCCCATCCCCAGCAGCCAGGGTGTTCATGGGGTGTGTTTCCTTCCTTAACTTTTGTTTACTAGGGATGAATAGGCCCTGATTTTCTTGACAGTGGCACATATTTTCTTGACAGATTTTCCCTGACTGCACCTGTTAAGAAGACTGAGAAGGCTGGAAGAAGCCAGAGACACCTTGAAGGCATAATATTCTACACTCCTGGTTCAAGACCTCCTCAGAAAATGCCACCTCTTTTCAGCTTTCAACTCACTATTAGGCAAATGTCAACCTACCATCAGGTGATCCAGCCACAATCTGATCCACATCAGTGGGCTCACTATCCCCAGAGAAAATTTTGTGTCCGAAATAAGTCTAAGATACAGAGAACACAACTCAAAATACTATGAACCCTGACTCCACATGTGATGGGAAATCTGACAAGAAAGACTGTGTTTATGTCACACTGCCATCCAGACAGAACACACCAAAAGCATAAGATTCTCTCTAGTGCAGTGCTGAAGCTGATGCCATGTCATGGGCAAGTGTTGCTGAAGATAATTCACTACAGAGAATAAGCCAGTTCCTCACCTCATTTGCTCTTCCATAATGAAATTCCAAAGGAATCTGTAATTTGCTTAATGTTTTTGGCTTATATCTTGGGACATTTATGCTTTGGTTTTGGGTTTTCTTCATTTTGGGTTAAGGTTTTGTTAATTTTTGTTATTACTTTTATTCTTGTTATTTTTTAATAGTTTGCTAAGGCTATACACTGTATATAATGACTGCTGTTTTGAAAGCCGCCAGTGAGTAAAATGAAAATATTTTTATGAATAAAACATAATTTCAAACTTTTCACTCTGAGACTCTTCTTTAGTCAGGTGAGGTTTCACACTCCTGTAAAATCAGAACTCATAGGCTTGGATGTATCTCAGTAAATTCCAGGAATCTCGGGCTGCACAAGGATTTCCCAGCCATGGGCCTCAGGGCTACACAGGGGGATTGCACCTTGGATGTGGATGGCATTGCCTACTCCATGGATACCCACTACATAATAGAAAAACTAGACATATTGTATCTTTGAGGTCGTATATTTAGCTACCAGTAAAATGTGGTACACTGTACACACATGTTCACAAAATCATCATGTAGACCCAATCAAAGGGAAACAAAAATATATTGCTGTAGGCCTCTCAGAAAATGAGAACATTCATTAAAATTATATAAAAGAAATCAGAAAATGAAAAGCAATCTGCCTCTGGTTTTCTTGAAATATAACATGAGTGACAACTGAACAGCAGAGATAATTTACTGCAACACAAGTTGGGACATTTTTCTGTGGTGCTTTTCTTTATACTTTGGGTGTTTTGGCACTTGTTGGGGTTTTTCTACCTTAGGAAGACTTGTGCTGTGAATATTTGTACTACGTAAGTGATCATGCTTTTCTCTTGTTAATTTCGGTTTTGTTGTGGAGTCCCTAACAAGGAACCTAAGATAGGTGGAACCAAATGATAACACTCACCTTTTTTTTAAAAAAAAAGTGCTCTCCTCTCAAAAACATCTTTTATTAGAACCACCATAATCTGTTTTATTATGCCTTCTAAGGATATCTTGAAGGTTTGCTAATTTGAGTGTAATAAGCCCCCATAAGCTCATAGGGAGTGGCACTATTAGGAGGTATGGCTTTGTTGGAGAGAGTGTGGCCTTGTTGGAGGATGTATGTTACAGTGAGGGAGGGTTGGGATCTCTTATGCTCATGCCATGCCTAGTGTCTCAGAGCACTTTTTGTTGCCTGTGGGATCAAGATGTAGCTTCTTCTCCACTTTCTTTTCCTTCTCGAGCATCATGTCTGCCTGCATGCCTCCATGTCCTGCCATGATCATAATGGACTAAACCTCTGAAACTGTAAGCAACCTGATTAAATGTTTTCCTTTTTAATTGTTGCTGCAGTCATGGTGTCCCTTCACAGCAATAGAAACCCTAACTAAGACAGCAGGTATCCAACATAATTACAGAGGACAATGGACTCAAAACAATTTTACTTTTGGACCACCCTTTGAGCATGGATCTCTTATATAAACCAGTTCAGACGCAGAATACATTGTAAGTGTTTGTACATTTAGCTGAGTCTGTTACAAATGCTTTTAGACCTGATCATCTGTGTAGACATCACTGCAGACCAAGTCCAAGGTCAATCAATTCACCTTGCTAAGTGGAAATCTGGGACAGCCATGTGTCATGCAGTGGGTAAGAGCTGATCTGTTGTTCTACGCTGAGTAGCAGCGTGCAGAGTCAGAAATACCTTTCTCATGTGTTCTGCCTTTTTGCCTCCTATTACTTCAGACATGACTTTTCACCCATTTAACTAGAACTTTCCCAACACATGCAATCAGCCCACCCAAGCCATCTCCTTCCCATGCTACTCACCCTAGTTACCTTGTGTCTTCAAAGCCTGTGTAATAAATGTTTCCCAAGTCTATACAGAAACAAAAACTAGTACATGAAGAAATTAACAACTCGACTTCTAGGCAACTAGAAGATGTTTTAGATAGAGACAGTAGTGCCCACTACCATCACGGAGAATGATACCTCATGACTTATATATATTGAAGACTGCATTATTCAGGTGAGAAAAAAATTTAAAAAATAGGATTAATATTAAAGTATTGAAATGATATACAGTTACAGAAAAAAGTGTTGAAGTTTTGATATTCATTTCTAGATACTGAAAGCAAAGATTATTTCTCATGTTTCTGTTTTTTGAAAGTTACATCTTACATATTTTCTAATAAGGCAAATGCAGTATCTCTGTTTTGAATTAAAAAATTATGCCTTTCTAAAAAACATAACAGGTACGCAGAGTTGAAGGCAGAAAAGAACTAACACAACAAGCTAGCCACTCAAAAAGTTCTGCTGCCTCCTGGCTGGTGTCTGGGACTTGGGATTTCAGTTTATCTTTATATTTATATACACATGTTTATGCAGTTAGATATGGTTGTACATAAAAACATGCACATAACTATACCCATAGCTCTGCATACAACATGCATACCATATGCATGCGTACCAATACCACAAATGTTGTTTCTTTTTATTTTCTTGTTATACCAATTTATTGTACATCTAATTTAATTTCAAAGTATATTTCTATGTGTGGGTATGTGTGTGTGCATGCAAAGGTGTAGACAAATACATATTTTTAAATTTATGAATATAGGCACACGTATGTGTGTATTGTATGGGAACAAGCATGTATGTATTATGGCACAAGAATGATGGTACCTTCATTCTTTATGATGGGGTAGTTGCACTATTACAGTGGGGTGGGGCATGCTTGATCATGCTTCATCATCAGTTCCATTCTGTGCATGGAACTTCCATGCTTCTAGAGCACTGATGTTGTCCAAGATGTTACTAACAATGTGTAGATGTTTCAGGATCTTTCTTAGATGGATATCTACAATCTATGTCACATGTTAAGTTCCTAAGATACCATTTGACACCTAGCACATGGAAGTTTTCAGTTTCTTCTTCCACTGCACTTTCAGATTTTAGTAAATCACCACCATCAAGTAAGTCTAAGAACACTTACTGTTTATCCAGAACTTGGTGAAGAGCAAGAAATTTGGGGTTCCCAGGATACAATGATGTTGACTGGAAGACTTTCAGGTGGGGTGTTCCTACTGCAACTGTTACCACAGGCATCCAGGCTGAGACAGCAAAGAGGCATCTCTGCTGGGCAACTGTATAAACTTCTCTTCTTCCAGATTCTGCTGCTGCAGACAGGAAAAGTATTCCAAGGTCTGTGATTAGATAGCTAGTTTAATTGAGGCTATCTTCCCTAAATCCTGTTTGGCTTTGAGGGTAGCACAATGCTCACACTTAATCTAGAAATAACAGGAAGAATTTGCCCACAGTTTTTCTTTTATAACTGATATTTTATTGGTTGAGGACCAGTAGAAAAACATGTTAATTCAGTTTTGTTTTCTTCCTTTTTGCATGCCACAATTCTTTTTTTTTTATTTTTTAATTTTTATTTTGCAATACAATTAGTTCTACATATCAGCCACAGATTCCCTTGATCTACCCCCTCCCGCCCCCCTCACCTTCCCCCCAGCCCACCTCCCATTCCCACCTCCTCCAGGGCAAAGCTACGGACTGAGATCAACCTGGTAGACTCAGTCCGGGTAGGTCCAGTCCCCTCCTCCCAGGCCGAGCCAAGTGATCCTGCATAGGCCCCAGGTTTCAAACAGCCGACTCATGCAATGAGCACAGGACCTGGTACCACTGCCTGGATGCCTTCTAAACAGATCAAGCCAATCAACTGTCTCACCCATTCAGAGGGCCTGATCCAGTTGGTGATCCCTCAGCCATTGGTTCATAGTTCATGTGTTTCCATTCGTTTGGCTATTTGTCCCTGTGCTTTATCCAATCTTGGTCTCAACAATTCGCGCTCATATAAACCCTCCTCATTCTTGCTAACTGGACTCCCAGAGATCCACCTGGGGCCTCGCCATGGATCTCTGCATCCAGATCCCTCAGTAGTTGGATGGGGTTTCCAGCACGACAATTAGGGTGTTTGGCCATCCCATCACCAGAGTAGGTCAGTTCGGGGTGCATGCCACAATTCTTAACTGAGGATTTTCATCTACAATAAGATAGAGGAATGGAACACTGATATCTTGACTAACTCCTCAGATCTCTAAGATGCCTCCTTCCCACTGCCCTTCAACTGTTGTGTTAGGGCAAGAAAAAAGCATCCATGCTAAAAAGAATAAAAAGGAAACCCAACACTAAGGAGACTGAGTTAGGAGGATTGCTGGGAATCTGAGGCCAGCCTTGAGGGATAAACTTTCAGGGAAGAAGAGAAGCATGAAGGCAAAGGACAATGGGAGATTGAGAAGGGGTTTGCTCAAAGTGGGTTATGTCTGTTGTTTTCTACTACTAATCTCTACTTGCATTTGTTAGAAAAGGTGACAACAGCTGAGGCAGTCAGCTCCTGTCCAAGGACTCCACTTTCCAAAATGGGACAGGATGAACTGCTGTTACACTGCTATCCAGTGAGTGACAACCTCAGAAGTCATCAACTACCATGATGAGAGGAGGTAGGGAAAGCCTCATGGCTTTCTGCTTTCTGGTCAATCCCACTTCAAGTTGTGTTTAATGATGGTGAAGGGACAGGCTGTAGGGCAAATTTCAAACAGCTCTGTTCCCCAAGGCCCAGGTACTGCAGATGGCACAATACAAGCCTCATGACAAGAGAATCTTGATGATAAACTGAGAATCAGAAATATAGACCAGTATTTTAACTGTGTACATATGGCCTGAGTCTGCCCCATCCCCATTGACCTTCCTCTTCTCAGCAGTGAACTTCTGTAGTAGGAGAGGATGATTGGATGGGAAGTTGTCCCCAAGCAATGATGGTAAGTGTAGCCTTCAGGCCCCTTCCTTAATTACCAGTCCAAAAACATCTGCATATCTTGACCACCTTTGTGCTCCCCTTAGCAGAGTGAGGCCTGGCCTCTGTGATTTTCCATAAGGAATCACTTTCATGGTTACCTGTGTGCCCTTGACAGGTTGGCAGCTCACTCTATTAAAGTGGTCTGTGATTCACAACAGTAATAATATGAGCAGGAATCAATTTCTGGTATGTCAGTGCAGACATTCTTTCTGGGAAGACCTGATCACACATCAGTGAGTGGACATGACAAGGAGCTTTCTTGAAAGGGATCACTAAGGCATGGTTCATTGTTCCAGGGGTTTTCAAGGTAGAAGACAAATAACATTTTGAGAAGTGTTTCCATAGCAAGGACCAGAGGAACACCTTCATAGTGCATGCCATGAATGCCATACAGGAGGGGACACCATGCCCACACTGCATAAGAGGCCCCATGAAGATCTACACAACCCTCATATGCCTATCAAGGCAGCCTCTAGATCAATGGAGGACCAGCCTCTTCTGTTATATTAGCTGCCTGTGATATGCCTTCATGGGAGCAGACCACAGAAGGAAGGAAAGGCAGTAGGGGCCTTGTTGGGACTCTAGGTTGGTATCTTTACTGAGAAGCAACAATTTTCCACATGAGCTCATGGTTCCTCTTTACCATGCCCACAGTCACCAATGCAGCAGCAAGGACTCTCCCAAGCACCACTGTCTCCTCCCTACTTCACCTTTCTGTTTGTGTAATATGTAGTTTATTTCATCTGGACTCTGTGCTGTGTGTGCTGGTGTCTGTGCCCATTTCCCTTGGAAAGAGACAATGTTCCTCATAATATACTTGAGATGAAAGGGAAGGTCAATAAATACAGTCCTCTATCAATATCCACATGTTATTTTTTTTCAGAATGGTTGAGCATAATCTAAGGCTAATTACAAATACAAAGTAACTTCAGATAAACCTCCACTCAAAGGTATCCACTGCTTCAACCAAAAGAGAAACAGGTACCAGACAGTCCCAGAATAACAATGTAACCAGGCTTAACTCTAACACAAAAACTGCCTGGATACAGTCATACCCTGAAAGTAGCCCAAGTCAACATGGTCCCTGAAAAAGCCTATGCTAAGCACCTAAAGTGAAAGTAGACCAGGATTAACCATTAAACCATGATGTCAATAGAGAAGTATTCCAAGGCCTGAGGATGAACCTGATGAAGACCAGGAATAAAGCCTAAATTAGCAATGGCTTTCCCTCATCCAGAAAGGCCAGGGACCAACCCTAAGAATAAAAGGGCCAAATCCTGACCTGCACCAAAACCTGAAGTTGAATAAGCTCTGACCCAAGGAAAAACAGAGGTATCCCTGGGCCAGACCATTAAATGGAAGAGCCAAGGCCAAAGGAGAAAAGGAAAAGTAATAATATGAATTGAAACAAAAAGAAAAGAAAAGAGCACCCATGCCTAACCTTGACCATGAAGAATGTTGGCCCCAACTAAGAGGGAAATGAGTCCTACCCTATCCCTCAGAAGAAAAAGACCTGGCTCAAAGAAAGAAAAGGAGAATATCCAAGCTTAAACTTTACCTGGACTGAACCCAGGGTGCTCACCAAGATGAGAAGTTGGCCTCAGCATAACTCTGACCCTGAAGAAGACTGGGCCAAAACTAAGAAAGGAAGTGGGCCCAGACTAATCCCTCAAATGAAAGAGGCCAGGGCAAAGCAGGAAAAGGAGAACACAGGGGACTAACACTTACCCTGACAAAAACCTGAGACAAAACAAGGAGAGAAGAAGACCTGGGACATTCTCTTAAATGAAAGAGGCCTGGTGCACGCCTTTAATCCCAGCACTTGGGAGGCAGAAACAGGTGGATCTCTGAGTTCAAGGCCAATCTGGTCTCCAAAGCGAGTTCCAGGGAAGGTGCAAAGCTACACAGAGAAACCCTGTCTCAAAAAACCAAAAAAAAAAAAAAAAAAAAAGGAGGCCAAGAACAAAACAAGAAAAATATTGTCTGCCTATAATCCTTACCCTGATGGGTACAGTCCTAAGCAAGAAGAGATGTGGACCACATCATAACCTTAATGACCAGGCCAAAACCAAGCAAAGTAGTGGGCCAGAGTCCCATTCTAGCTATGGGCCCTAATCAAAAAGAGAAGTAGAACTGGGCCATCCCCTTAAATAAAGAACACCCAGAGAAAATCAAGAAAACAGCCATGCCCAACTCTAATCCTTATTCTGAAGACACCAAGGACCAAATGCAGAAGCAGGTCTGGGGCAAATATTGACTGGGAAGAATTCAGAGTTCATACAAAGCTCATAGAACAAACCAGGCAAAATCAATAGTGGAAATGTTACAGGCCAACCACAGACCTTGATGAAGATAAACCACAAACCCGAAAATCAAGAGAGCTCCTCCCAACCCAATGAGAGATATGTGGTCAGACTTAATGTTGACCCTAGGAAGTGCAGTTTGAAGAGACAATTTAAATGGATCCTTCTCCAACCATAATAGAGAACTCTTCCTAGGCCAAACACTGATATCAAGTAGCCAAGGACCAAGCCCTTTGTGAAAGGAGTCCGGTCAATCCAAGAAGAGAAACACGCCTGACCATAAACTGCTATCAGTGGAGACTGGCAGACTACTGAGCAAGAATTAAACCCAGAAGCCCTGAACTTTAAGGATGTGAGGGCAGAATATTCTCTTCTTCATCCAACACCCTAACCAAAAGGGAGCCAGAAACACCATGTTCTCAGTGGAGCCAATGGCTCCCTTACAGATGAAAGCAAATGGACATCATTAACATATCTGGTAGTTAGAGGGAACCTTGAGGCACTTATCCCAGACCTTGATTTCACTTGATAATTTACAGTCAATCAAGGCCTCAAAAGAGACACAAAGAATGTTTGTTGAAAATCTTAGACTCACAGACTTCATATACAGATATAAGTTGACATCCTGAGTACCAACTGTGTGGATCACATATATTTTCATTTACAACACGAACCATCCTCAATACATGCAAGCCAGGATGTGCCACTCACCATATGATCCAAGATCTCATTTGAGTAACCAATGAATATGGACACAGCATAGAACAAGGGGGTTATACTACACACTGTTGTGGCCTGATAAAACTCCAAATCTTGATTTCAACTGAAATTTTTAGACAAACAAGACTCAAAAGTAACATAGGAGTAACCCTTCCTACCAAGAAGCTTGGACTAACCCAAAATAAGCCTCATTTGAATTAACTGACATCTGGACACATTCCATCCTCCAAAAGCATAGTTTGCTCATGACCTGATTATTAACAGAGGTGCAAGGCACAAAAAAGACCTCAAA